CTTTGCCTGGTGTATGCAGCTGTAGTCATATCTGCTTTATACAGATAACCGTGTTGGCAGTTGCTACCTGAAGTATGGACCAAGAGGGGATGGGAGCCTATCCTGCAACACTGAAATTGGGGTTGGAGTCAGTCGTTCCTCATGCTGCTGCTCCCTGGGAAAGGCTTGGGGAAACCCCTGTGAGACGTGTCCCCCCATAAACAGCAGTAAGGAAATGTTCTCTTGTTTACCCCCGACCTCTTGGTTTAGGAAATATTAACAACGGATGGAAAAAATGTTTGAAATCTTTTACTGTATTACAATATATTTGTCATTCAAGACACTTATTCTCTTCATAAGACAGCATTATGGCACAGTTTTAAAAGACAAGCTCCATGCTTCTGTCAGAGGGATGACGTGGAAGTGTGAACGTGAGTAGCAGAAGACCTGACCATTAGTCTTCTGTGACTGACTTGATGCCTGTTCTCACAACAATAAATCAGTGGTAACTTCAGAAGACACTTCCCACTGGACCAGGCCCATATACTTTGGGTAGTTTGGGGCATTTTATTTATTTTGCCTTTACTTTTCTCCCAAAAAAAAATTGAGAACCTTGTAGATATGTTTAATGTGTCTTAAGAATGGAATGATTGCATACATCTACTGGGATTTTCACTCAGCAACTCCATGCTGGTAGGGAAATAATTAAAAAATGCTTAGAACTCAAATCGTGGCTTTAATTTGGAGAGCTGCAGTCGTTCTCAAAGGAAAGCATTGATGACTCTTGCTTAGCTGTGTCTAAGTGACTCTTGAGTACTTTCAAAGCTGCTACCCAGTGATAGTTACCAGTTTTGTAGACCTTTGAAGTTCTTGGAATGGATAATGCAATGGAAATGCCAAGCATGTTGTTCTGACCAGTCCCATAATCATAAGAATTCCAAGTTTAACACGTATCTTTATCAAGAGTATTTCATAGTAAAGAGCTTCAAAGCTATTTAATTGTTTTATTGTTTATTTATTTATTCATTTTGCATAGAATGTTTCATACTAAAGAACTGTCAAAGCGGAAAATATGTGCCTTTGTAAAGACAGAGTATGGAGAAATCAACACTGTGCCTGCCTTGGGAGTATCTGAGGTTATGGTAATAAAAGAAAGCAGAACTCTTAATCCTACTTTTTCAATTTTCTGTTAATCTAATGCAATTGCTTTATTTACTGTGAAAAGGTTAAAAACTAGAAACCAATGAATATTGCTAAGAACACTCATTAAAAACTCAGGTGAAATTCCATGTTTCTGTTGTCATTATTTTATCCTTTGTATGACTGACATGTTCTCTTGTGTTATACTTTATTTAGCAGAATACAACACTCTGTGTCCAGGGGGAGAAGGATTCAGGCCAAATCCCATCACTATTATTTTAGAAGGTGAGTTTCTCATAAACTTCTGTGATGACCAGCAGTAATAAAACTGTGTCATCTTTGGAGTGGTGTATACAGGAACTGCATTTTTTTTTCAGAAATTTTAGTGCAAAGCAAAAACCTTTGCTAATGTGACTTGGACAACAACCTGATGAAAAGGCATAATGTAAAAGAATATTGAAGAGGTCCAACACTATTTCAACAGGAAAATAGCCTGATGTATCCATTTTGTGTGCTTCTTACTTGAATTGGACTTCAAAAATGGACCCTGAAGCATAAGTCATTTATTAGCTTTTCAGTGGAAGATAAAAGTTTCAGGAAATGCCAGACAAAGAAACCAATTCCAATAAATGGGGAATTAGATGCCAAATTGCTGTAAACAGTAATGGAAGTTAATCTCCATGGGCTCATCAAGCTGAAATGTGCTTCTAAAGAGCTTTTGATCAGAAGAGTATAAGAATCTTATCCTTGCATTCCTGAAGTGCAATTTAGAAGGTGAAAAAAAGAAGAGTTCATGTGACAGTTAAAAGCTACTAGTTGGTAAAATTTCAGGGTAGTACTTAGATTCTCCTGTTTCCTTTCATTCTAGAATGAAAATGTGTTGGGTTTTGTTCTCTGTTTTCAGACATTGATGAATGTCAGGAACTACCAGGTCTCTGTCAAGGTGGAAATTGCATCAATACTTTTGGCAGCTTCCAGTGTGAATGTCCCAATGGCTACTACCTCAGTGAGGAGACAAGAATCTGTGAAGGTTGAGTCCCCTGAAACCTCTTTCTCTGTCACAGTGCAGTTATGAGAAACACTGTTTTTAGCCTTAAATCCATAAGTGGATATGGTACCCCACACCCTTACCTAAAATGTTCCCTAAAATCATTATCTTTGGCACCTGTGATGTGACAGTGTAAAACCTGAAGTGCCACACTTGAATATACTAATGTTTGTAAAGTGTAAAGAATCTTTCATGGTTTCACCTAGTTTGGAGGGTTGTAAGTCATCTTCCCCTTCTTCACTCACTTTGTGAGAAACCAGAGCCTATTAATCCTGAGGCTTTGCTAAGCTCAGCTGAATAAAACTGACTAAACTGGGTTTGAAATTAAAATTCTATGGGAAAAAAGCCTTACACCCCAAATATCTTAAATAAGAAGATCCAAGGATAGCTCAGCAAGGTGATTTATCTTGCCTCTTATAAAGCACTTAGAAGGTCTTTTCTCAGTGAACAGATTAATAGAACTGACAAGTGACAAATCCACCTGTGAGAAGAAGGTGTGAATGTCTTCAGTGAAGTTGATGGGGCACAAGATGCTCCAATTTCAGTGGTAACTTCAAGATCTTTGAATTTCTTTAGTGTGTTCTGTTGCACTTACAAGAACTAAGACTGGATGTACTAACAGTAGCTGTTACAATAGGTACTTAACCCAAATCAGAGCTGTACTTTCCAAGCTGGTTTTTAAATTAAACATTTTTGCTGCCTTTGCATGGTTTATTATGATCATCTTTCTCAGAAACATTTGCTAGGGATTGGACCTCTTTTCCCTTGTTAATTGTGATGTTTTTGTTTGGCCTCTAGATATTGATGAGTGTGTTGCACATCCTGGTGTCTGTGGTCCTGGCACCTGCTACAATACTTTGGGGAACTACACCTGTATTTGCCCACCTGAATATATGCAGGTGAACGGAGGACATAACTGCATGGGTACGCAAAATGTCATCTTTAGTGGAACTACTTGAATATCAGAGTGTTTTGAGGCCAGTGCATGAAGTCTGTGCTTAAAATTTCCTTTTAGATGAGCCCAGTTTTGAAGTCTTGTACTGATTTTGCTTATCTTTAACTCCCAGTTCTGTTGTGTAGCCAGAAGGAGATCCCAGTCATTGGCATGCAGCATTCAAGTGCTCTTATTCCCTAGCAGAACTCACTGTTCACTAGTTTATTTTCAGTAGTCACTTCCAAATGGTACAGTTTATTAAACAAATGGATCTCATGAACAACAACAGTGGATCTGTGATTTCTTGGGAGTTCTCCTTTCTCCCCTTCATGTCTGAGTGAAAACTGAAAATTTGTCAAATTTTGTGTAGGTCTAAAACCAAGACTGTAGATTACCTCAATCCTTACATCATTTTTAAGTGCATGTCCTTGGGTTGCATTCAGAAACCAGTTAGTGAACCATTCTCTGGTTTGGTAGGAGGCTGATATTGACCTAAGTCAGGCTGTTGGTAGTTTCATCAGTGGTTCTCTTCTCACATCTAGACATGAGGAAAAGCTTTTGCTACAGAAGCTATAACGGAACCTCCTGTGAGAATGAACTGCCCTTCAATGTAACCAAAAGGATGTGTTGCTGTACGTACAATATTGGGAAAGCCTGGAACAAACCTTGTGAACCATGTCCAACTCCAGGAACAGGTAACACCTACTGTAGTCATCCCATTTTATTACTCGCTTTGCTTATCTTAAGATTTCAGGCCCAAAACTCATTTACTGCATGCTCAAGGGAAAGTAACAATAATACTCTGCCATTCTGTTACTGTCTGGATTAAATCTTGGTGTGATAAACAAGAATAAGTATTTATTCCATAATTTTCTACTCTATACTGAGTGATACAGCTTGAATAGTTTGAAGGTACCAATTGTTTTTCCTTGATGAGAAAGAACTCAGGAAAAACACATTTTCCCTCTCAGCTGCCCCTGAAGGCAAGAGAACAAACTACTGTCAGGTGCCACTGAGATCAAAAGGCCTGGAGAGTACAGACTGATCTTCTGACATCTGTCAGACCTGTAGCTAAAAAGATATTTGTAAAACAGGTATCTGTAGATGGATCAAAATATGTAGACCTCTTTTTTTGGTGATGGGTGAGTGTTCTATTCTTTCTTTCTTTCTGACGAACACCAAGGCTTTCAGAGGTTTTCTAGGGTCATAGATTAACTTTCTAGGGTCATAGATTAACTTTCAGTAATTTAGATTTATATGAAGAAATCTATGTTTTGGTAGATAATACGCACCAGGGAGACACAGTAGACATAAGCAAGTTTTCTGAATGTGTGAGTTTAGAACTCCCAGCTATAAAGCTTTCACTTTGAGGTTGCTGGAAAAGCAATTATTGGGCAACAACACTGGGGTTGAAGATACTGGCTGACAAGAGATGGTCTGTCTTCCGAGATAATCAATTTAGGATTGTATAATTCAGTTCTTGATAGCTGGGGATACATTTATCCAGGTAGTCCTGATCTATCAGAGCAACAAGATAGGGTTTCATTATTGAGTGTGTTACCTTTCTGGATTTTCCAGTTGTGTCTCACATCTGAGCATGATCTTCTTAGTTGCTTTTACATTTCCACTACTGAAGGTGAATGCACTTGTGAAAGCTGAGTAAGCAGGGCATTGTAAGGGGATGTAAAAAAATTATCTTCCATAAAGGGAGGTCAAAATACTAAAGTACAGTTCATTTTCAGTTCATCTTTATAGAGCTCATTGCCTGGAATAAAACACCCTTGAAAGCTCAACTCAGAAAGGTCATTGGTGGGAGAATCACCAACTTGGGAACCTGACAGTAGCACCTGGCACTCAGTAGAAGATTCTTACATTTGAAAAAAATTCAGACATGCCTAGATAAAACAAAAAAACCCTCAGGTACCTGTTTAGTACAAACACAATTGATTGTTTAATTGACTTGCCCCAAGCTTACAGGTTTAGTGCCACAAAACCCATACCTCCAGTGCTGCATAATTTGTGATGTTACTGTAAAGAATATATTACTTTCATTCCAAGTGATTTTTCCTGGTGAAATAAGGGAAACAGCAGATAATTGAAGAAAGATTTTCCGTCGCAAGCAGTAAAGAGTAGGAAAATAGGACTGGAAAGAATAGAAAACAACCTCTTTGTTTTCTTCCTTAGGTAGGAGGAGGGAGAATGAAGGAATGTTCCTAGCAGTCAGGAATGGGAGATGGAAATTTCTTCTTGAGAGAAGAAATATATGTTTGCTATCACAGAGAGCTCATGAAATTCTTTCCCATAGTCATTTATCTCAGTGCCATAAAATTGTCATCATGATGACAGCATGATGAGAAAAATACAGCAAAGTATTAACAGGGATTCATGCAATTCATATTCTTGTGCCAAAGAAAGAATTCTCCTGTTAAATTGGTAAGACTGAAATTCCCATAACTTCTGCAGCTCTTAATGGTTCATTAAAACAAAAACTGTCTGTTAGTGTGTGAGCAGTTATGGGGTTAAAATATTTCCTGCAATACTTCAATATTGCCTTGTTAGCTCTCCTAAATGCCTTTACTGTATTTGCAGACATGGTTGAACCTCTTTCACCATGAGGAGGGATTGTGTGAGGGATCAAATACAGTTCCCAAGTGTAACTGGTTGAATGGCTGCACTTATGTCTATAATCAGTTGTTTTGGAATCTGGGTGGGGGCTACACATCACAGACAGGGGTTATGATACACTGACCTTAACCACTTTGCTAGACTGAGCCCAGTAGCTCGTTAAGAGCATTATTCTGCTCTGATGTGAATTGTATTGTTCCTCTAAATGAACTTCACATGCCAATGCATTTGCATTTTTTCCTTGGTAAACACCTCTCTTTCTTCCTTTTCCTATGTTTCTGCTTAGCATTCAGTCTCTATTTGATGACTTTAGGTAGGTAGATAGACTGTTCTGCTTGGTTTTACATATTATGCAGGTCACAACAATGAGCATACAGACTTTAATCAGAAATAGTAATTCTTTTTTGTTGTTTTTTTTCTTTAAACCCAAAGAAGTGTAGAAAGCTGCTTCTCTGCTAGAGGTAACCAAGAATGTGCAGAGCTCCCTCATGGTTTGATAATATCAGGAGTGCCTATCTCTGAGATTTTTTTCCTGTTATGTGATAAATCTTTTTGTCCTAAAAAATAATACAGTGTTAATTATATGAGATTTTGAAACATTTTTAAAGTCATTCATGCAAAGTCGAATTTTCAGAAGGTAAATCTCTGGCATGTTTTTGTTTGGATATTTGGGCCCTTTGCATAAATGCATTATCATGCAGTCCTTACCTAGTTATATGCTTTTTACAGTACAAATTAAAAAAAATGTGAAAAACTGTATTCAACAATTGCACAACACAGAATGAAGCAGAGCCTGCAACCCTTGGAGCCTCTTCTTCATCCTGCCAGGCCTCATGTGTTAGGCATTATCATCTTCATTGTCCACGAAGACACTGCAGTGAACACAAAGCCTTGTTTTTGTCCAGTATGTGTATTTCACAGGTTTACTGACAGCAGTGAATTGCTTAAAGCTCCTTGCAGAAAAGAACTTGTTTCTAACCCTCAAATCTTACACGTAATATAAACATAAAATATTCTAAGGCTGTATCTATAAAAAAGCAGAAAATTGCTGGATAGTAAAGTGCTGTGGCAGGCACCTCTGTGGGCCTGTGTCCTGTACTGCAGGAGTAACTGGAGTGGGCATTAAGCAGTGATTAAACAGTAGGACAGAAAGAAATGCTGATGTTGGGATGTTCTGGCTTTTCTTCCCTTCTGCAGCTTGGCTTGCTTACACAAATAACAAAGAACATTTGCATGTGAGTAAAACATTTTGTCCAATCTCATTCAATGATCAACCAAATTTGCTGAAATTTTAATAAACAAGAATGTTTGGTGTAAGGGAGACAAGAATTATTTCAAGTATAACACCAGTGGTTAAACTTCACAAAACTATAAGCTGTTGAAGATCTGACATTAAAGTGTAGACAGTCAAGAGGCTCAAACTACAACCAGTAAAGAAATAAACTATCACTGCTCTAGATTAAAGATCGTTACTTGCAGGATTACAGAAGGGTCTCCTTTTTGTATTTTCTGTGCTAGAATAATTTGTCAATGTTTCAGGTTTAGAGATGCATCAAAGGCAGATTCCATATGCTTCTTCCTGTTGGATAAGTGGATTTCCTATAGGTCCTCAGCAGCACTCACAGTTGTCCAAGCACTCACAGAGGTCTCCAGACATTATGCTTCTAGAACCCCTTTGAATTTTATGTCAATCCTATGTTTTTGTAAATTTTTATCCACTTTTTTTTGAAGGATATTTTACCTTGGCTTAAGGCCCTGAATGTACAGATATCTCCCACATACTTTGAAATATTCCGTTATCAGTAGTTTGGCAAGTTAATATTAAAAGTTCCTTTTTCTGGATAATTTGAATGCTGATAAAATATAAAATGATGCCAAATAGGAGCTGCATGGTCATTGTTTGCAAACACACACTTAAAAGAAACTGTTCATTCAGACTGGTTGTGTCTTCACATTGGAATTATTTCATTCCCCTCAAGTATACAATTCTACTGGCAGTATTACAAAAATTTGACATAATTAGAGCTGTAGGACTGTCAGTTTTCTTATTTCTACCTAATCAAAATTTATCACTCTACTGTAAATGTGTAATAATTTCTTTGTCTGGAATCAGTGTTCTGCCATTAAAATCTCATCCTGCAATAATCACAGAATCATAAAATTTAAGGGTTGGAATGGACCTTACAGATCATCTAGTCCCAACCCCCTGCCCTGGGCAGGGACACCTCCTCACTAGATCAGGTTGCTCAAGGCTCATCCAGCCTGGCCTTGAACAAGTAAAATTTGTTGGATGTTTTAAGCTCAGTAGAAACTCTTTTCCCCAGTGGTTAAAAGAAGCTTTCCATTGTCCCAGAATATGTCCTAACATATCTTGGGGTACTTATTATTTGTGTTTGTGTAAGATCCATCTTTGGAATGAGTCTCCTCAAAAGAAATATTAAATCTTAATCTTCTGTGTACAAGTAGAATCCCTCTCCAGCTCCCCTGCAGGCCCTTCAGATACTGAAATGTTGCTATGAGGTCTCCATGCAACCTTTTCCTCCAGGCTGAACAGCCCAAACTTCCTCAGCCTGTCCTCATAGGGGAGATGCTCCAGTCCTCTTACCAACTTCGTGGCCTCCTCTGTACTTGCTCCAACAGTTCCATGTCCTTCTTATACTGAGGACACCAGAACTGCATGCAGTATTCCAGGTGGGGTCTCATGAGAGCAGAGTACAGAGGGAGAATCACCTCCTTTGACCTGCTGGCCACACTCCTTTTGATGCAGCCCAGGATTCAATTGGCTTTCTGAGCTGCAAGCACACACTGCAGCTCATGGTGAGCTTCTCATCTACAATCATTCCCAAGTCTTTCTCCTCATTGCTGATCTCAATTACTTCCCCATCCAAACAGTAGGTGTGCCTGGGATTGCCATGGCCCAGGTGTAGGACTTTGCACTTCATTTTGTTGCTGTTAATGAGGTTTGCATTGTTCCACCTCTCCAGCCTGTCAAGGTCCCTCTGGATGTCCCATCCCTTCCCTTCAGCTGGGACTGCCCCACACACCTGGTGTGGTCACTGAACGTGCTGAGCATGCACTCAATCCCAATAGAATCCATGCTAGAAATGTTTCTCTGTGTGTTGCAAACACACTCAACTTCATACACCTTGCATGGAAAAAACATGAGTTAATTTATTTTATACTTTATACTATGAATTTCCCATCCTCCAGGTGGGAAAACAGGATATAAATAGAGCACATTAAAACAATGCTCTTTTTTTGGAGAGTCTTTATTAAAGCAGAGGATCAATTCTGCTCTTCAGTTTACTGGAACTAAGCTGCAGTAATCTCCACAGAAAACAACAGAGATCGATTGGTCATAGAAGCCTGGGTACTGGGAAATTAAATTTATTTCTCCTATTTGAAATTGTTGCTGCAGATTCTCACTACAGATGTCTAGAAGACAGGGATAAACCTTAAATGGTAAGTTAAGGAGGTCTGTTAAAAAACCCCTGAACAACTGGCCTTCTGGTCTCTCAAACAAGACATTTAGTCATGTGCAAGTCTGCAAAGATTTGAGGAAAAAGAAGTATGAATTAGTACTTCAGTTTGCATTGTTTTCTCAATACAAATTGTACAAGAGGCAATGAATAAAATAGATTTAGCTTAAAACAGCTCTTGAAAAGATGAGAAGACTACACATAATTCTTAGGAGATTTGTGTATTCACTGAAAATGCTCCATTCTCTACTTTGCTCTAGCTGAGTTCAAGAACATATGTGGGAATATTCCTGGCTTTACCTTTGACATTCATACCGGAAAAGCTGTTGGTAAGTTTCACTAAACTCTCATTCACCAAAAATTGTTTTGCATAAGATTGTTGCACCTGTATAATGGTAACCAAAAATAAACATTTCCTATACTAAAATTCTAATTTCATTGTGGAGTTACAATGGTGACACAAATTGTGAGAACAATTTTTGCGTAGAATATTTCAAGATTGTTTTGTTTTTCCATATTTTGTTAAGACATTTTGCTCACCTTCCATCTTAGTTCATAATTTTGAGTTTTAATTGGTAAGCAAAAAGCTTTTGGCTTCAAAAATGTTGTGGGACTTTTCTGCACATTTGTAACATTCTGCATATTTTCCAATGCTTAGTATTGCTCTGTTTTCATCACTTCTTGAACTTCACATAGTTTATTTTCTCTCATAATGGGGATATGTTTTATTTATAACCTGTATACAATTCCTATAGATTAAAAGGAACTCCTCAGCTCAGTTTTAAATACGGAGAAAATGAGAATGCAAGCATTACACAAAACATGATGTACTGTACTTAAACTAGCTCATCTCACTTTCAGACATTGATGAATGTAAGGAAATCCCAGGAATCTGTGCAAATGGTGTTTGCATCAATCAGATTGGCAGCTTCCGCTGTGAATGCCCCACTGGATTCAGCTACAATGACCTTCTCTTGGTCTGTGAAGGTGATTTGAAATTATGTTATTTTCCACTTAGCTCCCTTAAGCATGCTTATCTCCTTAAAAAGGGGAACATTTAATTCACGTGTCTTGCAAAATCTAAGAGACAGACTTGTGAGCTTTATTGTAGGGCTGAAGTCTATAAATCAGTTTGTGAAGTGTTTGTCTTTAATACACACACACACACGCACTTAATAAAATTTGTACTAGTTTTCTGTCAAGCAATTCACTGACTCCTAAACAGGTAGTAAATGAAATCCTTCCCTTCCCTTCCCTTTTCCTTTTCTGGAGAAAGATCTTGTTCTGAGAACTTCTCAAAGAAAAGTTTTGTTGATTTTTTTTCCCCATCTTGTCCTCTTCTGCTCCAATTTTGGAGGTAGAGATGTTCATGAAAGCGAACAGTATAATTCTGTATGTCCTAAAGTCAAGAAGAGTTTTGTCATTGGTAGTCAAGGGTCATGTGCTAACATGTGCACCTCAGAAAATTAATAAATTGTTCCATTTATTTGTTCAGTTACAAGGCAAAGAGAAATTTTTTTTTAATGCTAAAATTACTTTAGGCAGATGGTTAAATTTGCAAAGCTGTTTCAGTGTGTAGTGAGTTGGACTCATAGGATCCTCCTTCATCCAGAAGGTGTGTTATGGATGAAATTGTATTTGAAATTGATGCATTGGAATTGATGTATGAAATTGGAAAATGTATGAAATTGTGACCTCTTCTGATTTGTGGTGCTTGTGTGTTTATGCACTCAGATAGACCTGGATACTGACAATTAGGAGCTTACATTTAGCAGTGTAACCTATGGAGCTATAGTCAGTCACTTCACAGCAACTTATTATCATAATTTCCTGAAATTACTCAGTTATGCTGGTGGACTAAAACTCCAAAACCACCTCTCTCACTGGAATTGTGACTCTATCTTACTGGAATGACAAAAATTATTTTGCCTCTGAAATTGTCCCTTTTATACTTATGTGAGTTAACAGCACCCACAAAGCAGCTACTGCCAAATTTGGTAGCAATTATTTAGGCATTCTCTGATTTCAACAGTATTGAAAACAGTTTTAAATTGTCTTCAACTGATCCAACTGATCCTTGCAAATGACTTCAGAAACACAGACATTTTTGCTGGTGTGAGAAAGGTAAGTTGCATTTTCTGGAATGGATGAAATTGAAATTTACAGCACAGGAGGCTGAAGGTCAGGCTATTCATGTATTGATTCACCTTGCACAAGATGGACAACACAGCCTAAATTTTAGGCAGAAATGGTTTCTGATGTCTGAACTATGGCTCTTGGTCTTTCAGATATTGATGAGTGCAGCAATGGGGACAATCTCTGCCAAAGAAATGCAGACTGTATCAACAGTCCTGGTAGTTACCGCTGTGAATGTGCTGCTGGATTTAAACTCTCGCCCAATGGTGCTTGTGTTGGTAAGAAAGCAGTTGACTTTTCCCTTCTGTTTTTTATTAACCTACGGTACGTGTGATTCTTTCAAAGGGTAACAGCACCGTTTACGTTCTGTTACCTTGTGTATTCTGCTGTTTTACTTTATAGGTCTGTTTCTCTGTAGAAGGGAAGAAAAGACAGAGTAACATTTTTAAAGGACATTCTTTATGCATCAACCAAATCCTGACAGTAGTTTTAACCTCAAGGTGTATAGGCAAGCAGTTCCTATAAAATTAAGTTTTGTTATGATTCATGTTTATTTATGGATGACTTTGAGTCTGGTTTCAGTAATAATAACAGATTGTAAAAACATTGTTGTGTAAAATGATGGAATAATGGAAGTCAATAATGTGTACCATCTGCTTTGTATTTTTGTTATAGATCGCAACGAATGTCTGGAAATTCCTAACGTTTGCAGTCATGGTTTATGTGTGGACGTGCAAGGAAGCTACCAGTGCATATGTCACAATGGTTTTAAGGCATCTCAGGATCAGACTATGTGCATGGGTATGGAAATAAAATACTTCTGTGTGTGGTTTGTTTGGTTGTGGTGTTTTTTTAAGGAGGAGGGGATGAGTGTGAATTTTTTTCAGTAGATTATAGTGACATTAGAAGACTGGTTCATACATTTCTGGAGGTATTCTGAACAAAGTATGTGAAGTTGTCCATGGAGTGGATGTTTCAGAAAAAAACCCAAAACTATCTCCATGTTACTGAAGAATATATGAACACCATTGTCACAAAAATACATCATAGTATTGTTGAGACAGAGAAGTTTATAGGATGTTTCACAGACTAGTAGAGCTTGGAGATAAAAAGACACATTTTCCAATTGTTTAGAAGTTTATTGAGTTACCCAGGAAAAAACTGAATCCCACATTCAATGCAGCTTAAACTGTACTAATTTTGTCTGAAAATGATGTCATGATTGGGATGATATAAGAAACAAGAACGCTGA